TATCTAGATTGAGAATTACCCCAAATACAGCTATATCGACCATGTACTCGGGGAAAGGCGGAAGACAGGTAGACCTACTTCCCTAAAACTGCAAATCACACTAGCGGTAGTAGCAGATCACAACAAATCCGCGTCCCCAGTGGTTACCGATGTGGTCTGGTCCATCCATGTGAAGCTGAAATTCTGGTCAGATACATCCAAGAAAGCCGTATTCTGAGTGTATACCACCTGGCAAATACAGAAAGGACAAGAACAAACAATGGCCTATCTTGTCACCTTGTAGCCGAATACGCACCAGCATACACCCACAAACTGTTGAAATGTAGACCTGTCTTTGACTCCGGATGCAATGAATACCCACCAGCCACTACACACACTAGTGCAGTGCAGCGGGGTAGCCGTGTTGGACCTTCATTCGTGCCTGTCATCGTTGTGCGCGGTCGTGTTTTTTTTTTAAAAGGCGGCTGCTGGGATCATTGGCTGCCTCTGTTGACCAAATGGAAGAAGAGACGGGTGGTTGGTAATAGACCTGTGCGGGTCTGCTTTTAGGCCTTGCTGATGGGATCTCTGGTGGCATCCCTGGCCCGAGTGCTAGGGCCTTTGGTGGTTGCTAGCATTGAACGTACGGTAGTAGTTTTTGAAGACCAAGATTCTATCCCTTGCTGCTGAAATAACGGTTCCTGGGCTGTAGTAGTATTGTTTCTGTAGTGATAGCTCTGGAACCTTGGATTTTTGTCGTGGCTGGTTTCGCTTGTTCTTTACTGTCCAGTCTACAGCAGCCTTGTTCTGTTGGATAGTGTTAGGATTCAAACATTGGATCAGTGGCGTGGCTGACTTCTCACATTTTCTATCGTCTTCTGGTACTTTCTGATGGCGGAAGCTGGAAAAACGTTTTCTACCGGCGTCTGTCCTAAGTCTGTGGTCTGAATATATATAGTCTGATACTACGGTAAACAGCGACAGAAGAACGCTGATGAGACTGGCACGGCGTCGAAACCGGCAGGTGTCCTAACGGCGTTTAGACCAGAAGTCGACATTATCGATGTATTCTTGATCTGGTCAAGTCGTGTTCGTTTTTTTTCAAGTTTACCGTGGTTCTCTTCGGCTTTTCACTCCTTTTCTTCCTCTTTCTCTTCCCCCCTCTCTCTTCTTCCTCTACCTTCCTCTCTCTCTCTCTCCTCCTCTCCATCATCTTCTTCTTCTCCTCTTTTTTGTCTCCCTCTCGTTCATGGAAGCTGGAATCCTTGTATGTATCATTCATTGATCTCGTTCCAAGTTAAACATACACACTACTTGAGGTATTATCATCGGACTAACCAGCCCAGGTAAATTCAATCTTGTGTCTAATCTGACACCGGGTGGCCTTTTCAGCCCAGGGTGGCCTTGTTGCCTTCAGGAAATCCCCAATGGAGGACACTGGCCAGGGGACAGCCGGTAGGAAAGGGAGCGAGCATGTTACATGCCCAGTTGGGTGATGTACATACCAACCGAGGATCCGCAATGTGATAAAAAGGACTGAATGGACAATGCAGTGCAAGTAGAATCTCAACAAGCAATGTGCATTCTCA